TTCTCGGCACTGTTGGTATATCATGTCCTGAGAGGCTTAGCTTGTCATTAGGCAAAGGACTCGACTGCCACCCAAGCTGCGCGAGATTGCCACTGCATAAGGAGAATCCACCAACCTCTTAGTGGAAGACGACTTTGCCACCGAAGAGGTCGCAATGAAAGGGCTAAAGCCGAAAGCTTGGGAGTGTCTTGCAAGAGGCTGACAGGACTTGTCGGGCTTCCCTTGCCTGGTGGGGTGTGGTGACTCAGATTGGAGCAGCCCAGGTCGGACGAGCCCGCTGTGGCGGCTCACAGCGGTGATGGCGCTGTTGTGGTTGCCCGGCTGGGAGTTCCGAATTCTTTCCTCTTACGGAACGTGCAGAGATAAGCTGCGCGCAAGGTAGCCATGCTGCGCTTTGTATTTGCGTTCGGCCTGCAACAAGCCATTCTGGTCTCGAGCAGGCAGGGGTAGTTAGTAGTGACTGAGTAACTAACAGGTCACTGCGGCTTGTTTGAGGCATGGCAGTGTCACTCATTCTCATCGAATAGGGTCACTCAACGTGCCAATTTCTGCCATGATTCAGGAGAATGCAATTCGCCCTTGTTCACTTGTGTGGGACCTTCCCAGGCAACGGAAGATGGTGATGATGGTTTCTAACACTTTCGGAGCCCAGCTTGTTGGGCTTCTTTGCGCTGATGCCTTCGCCACATGGCAGGACCGAGAGTTGATGTTCAGGGGGCGAAGGGGGGACCATGCTGATCTGGGAGGAGACTCCCTATTGGTCTACCTCTCCTGGTGTGAGCTTTGGCTTGGTATGTGTGACTGTCCTGTTGCTCGCGCTGTGCCTGGGTGCTCTCCCGCACTTGCGAAACAAGGCAGGATCGGGCCAGCGGTTTGCAAAGCATGCTCCAAGTCACGAGGTGATCACCGACCAGCAGCAGCAGGCAGACCATCTTACAGTCAAAAAGCCGACGAAGGCCGGCGCCATACCTGGCGCCATACCTGCCCGACCGTCAGGCGCAGTGTCGAGAAGGAGACGACACCGTGGCTGCCTGGGGGATCTCGCTGACGCTGGCGCAGCCACTCGGCACACTCGACGGCTTCGATGTGAGGCATGTGCCGTTCAGCCGAGGTTTTGGCGCTTCGTCCTTGCTGGGCAGTTGCCTCACTACTTGGGCCTCCAGCGCAGCAAGTATGACAGATCTGTGACTTGACTGCTATGCGTCAAGGGCCAGCTGCCATCTTGCCGATGCCGGCAAAGGAAACATCCTTCCTCTTCTTGACGTGGATTATCCTGATTATCCTGACAGCCTTGTCGGAAAGGGCCTTCAGCTTGGTGCAATCTCCTGCGGAAGGTGCCTGCCATGTTTCTACAAGCATGCTGAACCCGTGCTTTTTGAGTTTTCAATGACCTGCCAACCATGTCAAGTGAGGTGCTTCGAGATTGGTCGTGTTGGCCCACAAGCTTCTGACGGGAGCATCTGTTCTCCCCAGAATCCTGGTTGCTCGGCAGTCATCCTCGAGAGTGTTCAATCTGTATCAGAAAAGTTGTAGTTTTCTTCGAGCAACCTATAGTCTTTGTGGCGTAGTCGGGGGTCACACGGGTGGCGTTAAAAATGAAGCGCCCAACAAAAACCATAGAATTGAGCGGATCTCTACCACTGGATCTTGGGCACCGGATGTAGCAGACCGGAGGCGATGACAGCAGCATGGTGCTGCTTCTTCTGGGCGAAATGGCTGGACTATGGCATGCTGACTACCGGCACCACCCTGGTAGCTGCTGGCACCTTGGAAGCAGAAGGAATGGCACGTGGCGACATGTGCTGCGTTCCGCGCGTGTTCTTTGCATGTGGATTGCCAAGGAGAGGTCATGAAGGCTGAGATGTACAACGCGATGGTGTGCACTGGGCTGGCCTTTTGTGTGATGATCGGGCTCTTGATGCTGGAAGAGATCCCAAGCTGCACCGTGCTCTCAATTTGTCAGCCGGCTTTCTTCGGCACCTTACACGCCCACGAGCTCATTCAGCCAAGGAAGGCTCCACAGTTCAAGAAGTGCTTTGCCTTCTTTTGCGAGAGCAGCATGTTCACCATGCATCTTGGCAAGATGCTGCAAGTTGCAAATATGTGGCATACAGTTGCCGAACACCTTTGTCAAATCTTCCAAATGGGTGCGTGTGTGTGTTTTTTCATGATAGTCTTTGGGATTTCCAATGGAGAACCACCATTTGCTGGAACCCCTATTTGGACACCTACCCAAATAAATTCAGACATTATTTTCCGCAATTTGGGTTATGTGCGCATCAGTACCGTTTCCAGGTGCCTGGCCTGGAACAGCGCTTTCCAAGTAGCCTGCGCCTTCAGCAAGGACCGAAAGACAAGCGACCAGGGGACCAGCTGAATGAGCAAGCGCCAGGCAGTGCCAGGCAGGATGCGTGTGGTGCCCAGGATGCAGCTGCCCCGGAATTTGAGCAAGTCTTCACTCGCTGCACGCAAAGCCAGTGGATGTAGCAGCCTCAGCACCTTGAGGCTGTTCATTGTCAGCACAAATTTGTCCAAAGCTTTCATGCGTCCAAGGTGCATTGTGCTCATTCCTGCTTGGCAGCTTGGCAGCTGTCATAGTTGAAATCACCTCCTCTTAGCCCCATGGACGCCTCATGCATAGGCTGCTGTTCATGGTGCCGCGTGTGATGGACTCCGAGGCAAGCAAGGACAGGGGGATCACAAAAGTTGGCGGATTGCACGTTTCTTTTGCTCTACTTGGCTCATGCACAAAAGCTTGATGCGCAAAGCAATCACAATCGTCAGGTTGTGGGATGTTGCTCAGTGGCGCTCGAAACGCCTAACTTCGTACACAGTAAAAGAAGTGTTGGGAGTTAGATCAATCATTCCGAACTCGGAGAACATGAGAGCAAGCCCCCTGCTGCACGCAGATGTGCAGCACATGCTCGAACAGCCAAGCTGCTTTGTTCCACAGGCTGCAATGTTGCTCGGAGACTACTTGCTTCCCCTGGGTTTGGGCATTTTTATGAAGAGAAGGAGCCCTAAACAGAATTGGGAAGCTCGCCACTGTAGATGGGTCCGACGATGCCAAAAGAAGTTGCTGGTCCTGTAAGCGCAGACCAAGCGATACGGCACGTTGTGCCTGACGCTTACTTTTACTCTGCCACATACTTGGCTGTATTACTTTGTAGCTGCAAGTGCGCATGCAGCATGCTAAAAGGCAATTTGGCCCTTGGATTATCTCCCTTTCCACCGGACCGAATGTAGACCGCCATTCTTGGAATAATGTTCACGCAGATAGTCTAAGAGCCCCTGCTGAGGAAGCTTTTGATACTGCGCCTGCATAATCTCATTTGCAGCCAGGATTTGGACTTGGAAGCCACACTGTTTAGTCACAGGTTGGTTTGCATATTGGGATATGATGTGAATCCTTTTTGCAGGCAACTCTTTTCAGGCAGGCTTATGGGGAGAAAGCCATCATAAGCCATCCTTGTTTTTTTTGGGGGCCCTCAATTTTGACACCAAGCATCTTATGTTTCGGCGGTTGAGGCTCGCTGAGCCCCTTTTTCATCAGGATGGTGCCACTGGGGGCCCCGAAGCAGAAGGCGGGGGCTGTGCACGCCCATTTCTGTCCGGCACATATGAGTGTGGCTCAAAAATGGGGGTCCATTTGAAATGGAACCCTGGGGAATGGACAGGTAGACTAAAACCTGCGTAGCCCCAGTTGCTTAACGTTGAGCCACACCCATATGGCTCGCAAGTTTAATCAGGGAACCTTTGGCGGACATCATTTGAAAGTTTAGGTGGGGATCTATGTCCACCAACCACCTTGGAGGGGGTTTCCTATAAATCACGAAAGCTAGCTTTAGCTAGCTGAAGTTTCTCCTTGCGTAAGCAAGGAAAGGGGCTCAACTGCCGAAAGATTGATTTTTTCAATTATTTGAGCCGAAAAGATTGAAAAACATCAATTATTTAGACCCCCCCCCCCCCCCCCCCCTCCCCCTCCCTCCCCCTCCCCCCCCCCCCCCCCTCCCCCCCCCCTCCCCCTCCCCCCCCCCCCTCCCCCTCCCCCCCCCCCTCCCCTCCCTCCCCCTCCCCCTCCCTCCCCCTCCCTCCCTCCCTCCCTCCCTCCCTCCCTCCCTCCCCTCCCTCCCTCCCCCCTCCCTCCCTCCCTCCCTCCCTCCCTCCCTCCCTCCCTCCCTCCTCCCTCCCTCCCTCCCTCCCTCCCTCCCTCCCTCCCTCCCTCCCTCCCTCCCTCCCTCCCTCCCTCCCTCCTCCTCCCTCCCTCCTCCCTCCCTCCCCCTCCCTCCCTCCCTCCCTCCCTCCCTCCCTCCCTCCCTCCCTCCCTCCCTCCCTCCCTCCCTCCCTCCCTCCCTCCCTCCCTCCCTCCCTCCCTCTCCCGCCCTCTCTCCCGCTCTTTCTTTTTCTTTCTCTCTCTCGCTCCCTCTCTCCCTCTCTTTCTCTTCCCTTCTCTTCTCTTCTCTTCTCTTCTCTTCTTTCTTTGTTTCTTTCTTTCTTTCTTTCTTTCTTTCTTTCCTTCCTTCTTTGCTTCTCTTTTTTCTTATCTTTTTTCTTTTCTTTCTTTTCTTTCTTTCTTTTCTTTCTTTCTTTCTTTATTTTTTTTGTTTTGTTTATTTGTTTCATTCTTTGTTTCTTTCTTTGATTCCTCCTTTATGTTTTTTTGTTTCTCTCTCTCTCTCTCTCCCTCTCCCTCTCTTTCTTTTTCTCTTGCTCTCTCCCTCTCTCTTTCTCTTTTTGTCTCTCTCTCTCTCTCTCCCTTCCACTCTCTCTCTCTCTCTCTCTCTTTTTTTCTTTTCTCTCTCTCTCTCTCTGTTTCTTTCTCTCTCTCTCTCTCTCTTTTTTTCTCTCTCTCTCTCTCTCTTTCTCTCTTTCTCTTTTTGCTTCTTCTCTTTCTTTCTCTCTTTCTCTTTTTGCTTCTTCTCTTTCTTTCTTTCTTTCTTTCTTTCTTTCTTTCTTTCTTTCTTTCTTTCTTTCTTTCTTTCTTTCTTTCTTTCTTTCTTTCTTTCTTTCTTTCTTTCTTTCTTTCTTTCTTTCTTTCTTTCTTTCTTTCTCTCTCTTTCTCTTTTTCCCTTTCTCTCTTTCTCTTTTTGCGTCTTCTCTTTCTTTCTCTCTTTCTCTCTTTTTGCTTCTTATCTTTCTTTCTTTCTTTCTTTCTTTCTTTCTTTCTTTCTCTCTCTCTTTTTCCCTTTCTCTTTCTTTTTCTCTTCAGCTTCGCTTTCTCTTTCTCTTTTTCGTTGTCTTTCTCGTTCTTTTTCTCTTTCTTTTTCTCTTTCTCTATCATTCTCTATCATTCTCTGTCTCTTTCTCTATCATTCTCTGTCTCTGTCTCTGTCTCTCTGTCTCTGTCTCTGTCTCTATCATTCTTTGTCTCTGTCTCTGTCTCTCTGTCTCTGTCTCTGTCTCTCTCTCTCTCTCTCTCTCTCTCTCTCTCTCTCTCTCTCTCTTCCTCTTTCTCTTTTTGGCGCACTCCGCGCGCTTATTTTTTGCCGGACTGCTTGCATTAGTGTGGCTGCCCGCGTCGAGGCAGCCCAACACGGTCTCACCACGCGAAAGTGCTGCGCTCGCCACGAAAATCTGCACCAGACCGCGAAAGCGCTGCGCCTGCCATGCAAACTAAAGTCGCGAACAGTCCGCGCATCCGTGCCACTTGTGCCGGCTCCGAACCCGCTGCGAGACTGCTCCGAGACCTCCGTCAATCAGGCATCGCAACCGAGGGGATTGGCACGCATGCGGAAGAGCTGAAGTCTCGAGCTTCCATGCGAAAGTGCTGTATCTGACCTTGCGCAAGTGCTGCGCCTGCCGCCCAATCTGTACCTGACCTTGTGCAACTGTAGCGCTTGTCACCAAAATCTGCGGCTTGCCATGCGAAAGTGACGTGCCTGCCACACATTTTGCACCTGACCTGGCAAAAGTGCTGCGCCTGCCACGCAAACTGGAGTCGCGAAAAAAGCGCCGCTCCGGGGCCGCTTCGAGACCGCCTCCGTCAGGCATCGCGACCGAGGTAGTTTGCGCACATGCAGAAGAGCCGGTTTCACGCGCAGTTCTCGCATTTGCTGGCTTTCTCTTGCTTTTGGCCGCGCGTGGCATTTGTTCTTTGAGATCACGGGTGGGCACATGCATTCGTAGAGGCAGCTACCTCATTTTGTTCCAGTGCTACGGAAGTTCTTGTTAAAATTCCTTTGGCCATGTTCTGCAGACGAGACATTCGATGGCACAAGAGAGAGAGAGAGAGAGAGAGATGTATTTATTCTTGTTACTCATGTCAACATGGCTCCACACATTTAACATTTTGTTTGGATGCGTTACTCGTTTTCCCTTGCGCCACGCAGGCTCAGAAGAGCCGAAGGCGGCAGAGACGCCGAAGGAGGAGCCGGAGCAGAAGGAAGCAAAACCAGAGGAGCCAAAGGACGCGAAGCCGGAGGCGCCGAAGGAAGAAGCAAAGCCGGAGGCGCCGAAGGAGGAAGCGAAGGAAGCGGGTGAATCCTAGCCGCTTGCGATTTGCTGCAGCTTGATTACTCCAGGGTTGAAAGGAGCATGCGCGCCACGCAGATTGGGGGAAATGGCTTGGGACGTTTAGCTGCGGAAAGCAAGATAGATCCGCCGCTGCAATGACTGAGATGCTTACAAATGAGGATTAATTTGAGCAGTTGCTGCGGAATGCTGGACAATGGGGCAGGGAGGGGTGTGCGTAGGCACATATGGGTGTATTTGTGCTGTCTTGTGCGCTGCATGTCTTAGGGTCTTAGAATGAGATGTAAAGAGATAGATGTCAAGCGAAGCCCGTATTTTGATGGGGCGAGCTGGGCATTTGGCTTGTAGAATGCACGCAGCCTTGCAGCTTTTGGCTTTAAGTGTCAGTGTCATAACAACACTACGACCTTAGAATTGAGGGGATGGCCTCGGGCAGCTCGGGCTCATGTCGATGAAGCGTCCCGCCTCGCAGAGCCCAAGCAGTTCGAAGCGGCGATCGGAAAGCCCCCTGCGCGTTGCATGCCTTGGCGACTCCAACACTTGCGGAGGTGGGCTGGGGAAGCTTGGCAAGAAAAGAGCTTCCCATTGTGGCCCAGGCCCCCAGCCTTCCCATGTTAAGGAAGCAGGGAGCCTACCCGGCACAGCTCCAGAGAGAGCTTGATGAGCAAGTGCCTGGATTGCAGCTGGCACAAACCCTGGTGAGGGCTCTGGCCTTGCTCACAGCTGTGCTGTTTGAGGCTGGTAGCAGCCAGTATTTGGTAAAGTCATTTGGAGTCAGCGGCGCGGTGGCTGCCAATACTCCGGGGAAGAAATGTAACTTGTCGGCAATGGTGCTTGCGGCGTGTTTTCTTATGTGCTTGCTTGCAGGCGGGTCGTCACATGTGCTGCACACATGGGCTTGCTTCTGCTACCGAACTAATGCTGTGTGTGAGGTTTTGTGCATCAACAACGCTATCAGGATGCACTTGCCTTCAACGCCAACATTTTTGTGGCTACTGAGCAGCGTCACTCACCTAGCCGTTTCTTACCGCTCATGGTCTCACCACAGCAAGGTGATGTTGGGCACGAACGATGCATGGCATCGTGGTGGTGAGCCTGAGAAAGTCGGCGAGTCTGTGGCCACACTGCTGGGAGACCTGCGAGTGCCCTGCGCTTGGCCGTGTGTTACACGCTTGCGCTGAGAGTTCGGAGTTCTGGCTGCGTCTAACCTCAGGAAGGCCGCAGCATCGTCCAAGCCACACCCAATCTGCGTTCTGGCGCTGCCTCCTGGCGCGGCTTTGCACGATTAATGCCGGGGCTGCTCAGTGGGGGCGGGATGCGCAAGTGGCAATGCTGCTGGGAGTGTCTTGTTTGGGGAGGACATTGGGCCCACCCAGGTTCCGCAGAAAAAACGAGGCGCCGCCCAATGTTGTTATGCCACCTTGCGGGTTTGTGCCCCAGCTCCGCTCTTCCCTGCAGCCAAGTCTCTCCAAACATCTCCCTCAGATCCCATTCTTGAGTCTTATTAGTAGGTGTGAGAAAATGGGATAGGCTCTCACATATAGAGTCTGGTGAGTGGGATCGAGGGTGTCATTATCTTCTTTCCCTTGGTCATCCTACCCTCATTTATATCTTTGCTTGGTGGTTGGACGAAGGGACAGGCATTCTATTTGTAAGAACCTCCGACTCCAAATCTTCCTAGTCACTGATATTCTATGAATCTAGAGTGGCTTTATGAATATATTTCCTTGGAATCCCACTTCTCTATTGCCAGCTATTGCACATGTCTGAGGAATTGCCTATATCTCTCGATCCCTTATTCACTTTCTATCTTCAGCATTCCTAATTCATAGATTGTGATTATGAACAAGCGATTCTGTCCGGGACTCCTGTGGCCAAGATACTGCATGCCCATTGCAACCTGCGAGGTGAAGGAAGGCCGCCTGCGGCAGAACCTGGAACAGCACGTTCACCCAGCGCTCCGGAAGCTTGCGCCCCTTGTGCCAAGATGTTTTGTGCGAAAAAGCTTGAGCTGCGAAGACCCAACGCCGTAGCAAGCGCACTATGCAACCAGGCACACCGCGGACACTGTCCTGGTAGATGCGGAGTGGACACTGGATAGCTTCCGGCCAGACAAGGTCCATTTATCCATGAGCGGCAGCTCAGCTTGATTCGCCGATGTTTGCATAAGCGGGCGCCGCATGATCTCGGAGAAAGCCGAGGGGTTGCTTGAGACGAGGTGCCAAGACTCTCGCCGTGGCGATCGCGTCGGCCATTTGCTCGTGACACGCGTGGAGTTTACACGCGAAGAAAGGACATCGACAGCTTTGTGCAGGTCTGCAGCTGAAGGGCTGACACCACCACCATGGACTCTCCTAGGAAGGAGGCTGCACCCATTGGACCCACCGATGTGCAACGTTGCTTTCCGACAGCTTTCAGCCAAAAGTGTGCGATAGCTGGCGGGCAGCCGCCTGCGCTTGGTTTGTCACATCTTGAGGGAGCCATGCTTTTGAGCGCTGCTTTTGAGCACATGTTGGCTCTGGTGCATGTGCAAGCCTGAGCAGCCTGATGGTGTGCTCCTTATTTGTAAATGCCGGGGCCGCCAGGGCCCTTTGTGTTTACTGGTGTCGTGGGCGGTAAGTGTGCGTATTTGGATCCTTTGTCCCGTCAAGGAACTGATCCTCGCCAGTCTTGCGGATAGGGGGAACCGCACCTGGAATCTCCAAGTCCGTGACCAAATAGGTGATTACACAGAAATATGCGCACATTACCCCCCCCCCCCACCCCATTTGTATGGGGTCACGAAGTTCTCAAATACGTCGAGGGTACCCAGAAGTGAGACTACCCCACAGGGCAACGGGCTCCAAGTAGCCGATTGGCTCAAAGAAGAAGGCTGGACCGCAAACCTTCCCTGGAGCAGGATGAAACTGCGCAGTGCCGTTCTGATCCTAGCAATTGCAGCAGCGATCAGCTTGCTCAGTGGCAAGTTCCTTACGGCTAACTTGGAGCCATCGCTTGCTGGCAAGGCCAGCCAGGCTTACGATTTCGGGGTCAGCTGACAAGCGCAAGGGCAAGCGGGCTGCCCACAAAACAGTCGAGTAAATTGAATTTGCAGGTGGCAATTGTGACTGGAGGCAGCCGGGGCATTGGCAAGGGCATTGCCATTGGATTGGGCGAAGCTGGCGCCACAGTGTACGTTACAGGCTGGATTGGGAAAGGTATGTGCCATAGAGCCAATAGGTTTGTTGTTTTGGTTTCTGGCACTTGTGAGCTTTCGTGTGGACTTAGGGAATTCCCAACCAGTGCGGGAATAGTGGCATTAGGCCATTTGGCACAGCCAGCCGTGTGAAGCTAGGTCTGAGCCCCCAGGACCCCGTACCCCCAAAAAGGATCTCAGAGCCCTTAAAAGAACCTCTTCCAAGAAGGTTCCTTGCGAACCTTCTAGGTTTCCTCCCTACCACTGTCAGGGTAGGGGGTTCCTGAACTTGTTTTGTTTTTCGTTTTTCATTCAAAGTCAAGGTGAAAAGGCTACTGAGCCTCAACAAGCACACCCTGGAACCAGTTGTTATCCCAGAACCCATTTGTTACTTATTCAGGATCACCCCAAAAGCATGTGGATGCCGTTGGTATTGTCGTTTCGTTTCCCTTTCACCCAGCCTAAAAAAGGCACCGCGCCTAAAACACCACACTCGTTCCCGACTCATTCCCTGAGGCCGGACCCTGGGCAAAGAGAGCCGCAACACGGGGGGGATCAATTTCACCGCCCAGAGCGGCACCTTGGAGGAGACCTGCCAGGCCGTGGGGAAGGCCTGGGTGTCCTTTAGGGCTCGAGGGGGGGGGCTCTGTCGCAGGAGGGGTTCGCAACGTTTGTGGCATCGTCTCGTTGGCCACGGGGGAAGAAAACATGTGTTTTTTTTTCTTGGTCCGAAAAATCAATGAAACAAACAACATCAAGGTCACTTCCTGAATCCTTGGCATGCAAGGCTGCCTGCCAAACATGTGTTTCGCCTGAGAGGTCGGGGCCGGTTTGCAAGGTTCGGGTGTTTCGTGCAGGCGAGACCCGCAACGTTACGTTCGGCAAAGCAAAAGAAAATCGGTTTTGTCAAGTCCAAGCATGGTTCGCATCATCGGCCTGCTCTTTGCAGCCGAGCCTGGAGGGAGGGGAACTCAAAGTCGCGGGCTGAAAGCACCAGCAGGCATGCTATATGTCGAAATAGAGAAATTGGACCCCCACAAAATGGCGCGTATTTCTCTTGGTACCGTGGTTTCCCTTAAGTTCCCTCCCCCAGAACGACTACCGTGGAACTACCCGTGCAGATATAAACTTGAATTGGTGACTTTGGCGGACATTTGTTTACCTGGGGATTCATATCCAGCAACCGTTTGGGACCCCCCTGAAAGATCAAAGCAACAAGTGCAGATAGGATCTCAGATCACATCCAAATGTAAGGTGAACCGATAAAATCACAAGACCGGGTGTTGGCCCTTCCACCCCCCCCCGCCCCATCCCATGCTTGAGCTTGCAAGGGCGTCTCTTGTCTTTTGGGTGACCTGGTGAGGCTGGCGGCAAGTGTATTCCTCTTGCGGTCGACAGTGGCAACGATGATCAGATCAAAGAGCTTTTCGACCAGGCAGCGTGTTCCACTGTCATAGGTCCATCAGCCTTGCTACATACCGGAATTTGACAAAGTCGTGCCTGAGTAGAAGGAATTGTCAAGTACCGCTGGGGAACAGGTTTCAAAGACGGCGACACCCAAAGCAGGCCACACCCAAAAAAGTGCTTGACATGCTGCGTTCCATGCAGGTTTGCAGATTTTGCACTGACTTCTCTCAATTACTGAACGTGATGCTTAGACTTGTGCTGCATTGGCTTTGTGTTCGTATGCTGTGCTTCCCCCGCGAGGACATGGCTTATGACTACTTAACACGAGGCATGCCCCCATTGCGATCATTGTGTTGTAGCTCATGTTTACAGTACCTTACTCTCTCCTCTTCCTCCGGTAGCTTGCCGGCTTGGCATTGGTAAAGGTTGGCTTTAGGATGTAGATTTAGGGCTAAAGGCTGACTCTCCAAGAGGTGATTTCCGTAAGAGGCGGTGTGTGCAGGTCACCTACTGGAGCAAGGGGCAACCGCCTCCCCCTGGAAAAGTGTGATCACAAGATATCAAACCTTGAGCTGCCAGGTCATCCGTGAACAAGGGAGAGTAGACATCCTCATCAACAACGCCTTCAGTGCAGTGAGTTGGTTGCCTAGAACCATGGGCCAGCCCTTCTGGGAGAAAGGTCACATCCTCAGCGGTGGCATTCTGCACCAGTGCTGCAAGTGCAATGCGCAGCCCCGTCGCGATTCCGAGCGCAGCAGAAACGCGACTTGAGGTGTTGAGAGTTGGGATGCCGTGAATCACGTTGGGCTGCGTTCTCACTATGTGGCCAGCGTCCATGCAGCTCAGCACATGAGCAAGGCAAAGAGTGGTCTGATTGTGAACGTGGGCTCACTTGGAGGCCTGAGTTACTGAGCAGCAAGCAGTTGGGCCCTGTTTGTCTGCAGAGTGCGTCCTATTTGCCACCAAGTGCAGATGTGAGTTATGCAGTGGACACGCTTATGCAACTATGCGTGTGCCCAGCTTTGTAACAAAAGCCAAAGTGAACTAGGTCCTTTTTTGAGTATGTTCGATTCATTCCGGTGGAATGGTATGCGTAGGAGAGCACGTGAGTGCAGCTTGCGTGTGCGTCCTGGTTGGTTGGATGATTGGTTGGGTGGGTGGGTGGGTGAGAGGGTGTGTGTGTGTGTGTGCGGGCGCGTTTGTGGCTTGTTTGTGCATGTTCGCATGTGTACTTTTCACCGCTCCCTGAAGCGTGCGTGGTCCAGGTAAGGCTTGCCAGCACATTGCCCCAAATCTGTTCGCATTTCCTGATTACTTGCGTAGCGGGGTGCCTGGCGCCTGCCGCTTTCCATACATTTTGCACTCTCGGCCAGACTGGGCTTGAGGCTACATCTTTGATGTGAGCTACGGCATTGGTAAGGCAGCTATGGACCGTATGGCAAATGACATGGCAGTGGAGCTGGCGACGGAGAATGTGACTATGGTGTCGCTGTGGCCAGGCCTTGTCAAAACTGAGACGCTCTTTTGCATGTGCATGCTGCACATACTCTTCTGCAGGTTAACCAGGAGCCCGAAGAGCGATCCTTTGTAGAGGAGTCTGCTTTTGGGAGACCCCATTTTTTGCTGGATTCTTTTGAAGGAGACAAAGTTAGAATGTTGATGTGCCAGCGCCTGCAAAGGAACGTGCAAGATGGGGCACTTGCAGGAGGGAGTGAGCGGCGTGGCGTCGCTCCTGGCAGTCCGTGCTTTGGAGACGTTGCGATTCGATCACCTTGTCGTCAAGGGCCCTTCTCATGTCCATTAGTCATAGGATCCACTGCTCTCCCTTGCCTGCCCCCAATCGTGCAGGGTTCCCCCAACCAAAACAACAAGAAGACCTTGTCAGGGTCTTTTGGGGAAACAGTAACTGGGGGGTGGGGGGGGGCGGGGGCTGGATCCTAACGGGTTCGAGGGGAGCGAACTAAGACCCGAGGGCTTTCGATTTCGAGCCGCTTCTGCAGAGCCCTCTGGCGGAAACTCCACTCTTCGTGGGGCGGACTGTGGCTGCGTTTGCGCGTGACCGTCGCAAGATGGATGTCACCGGCAAGGCCTGACAGGTGAAAATACCGAGAACTGGAGTTGGATGTTGAGAAGTGAAGCTTGGAATTTGGGTGGTCGGCAAGATTCGGTCATGAGGTGAGGAGAAGTCGCAAGACAGGCTTGGCTTCGGAGTATGAAAGGGCGCCCCCTAAGCAAGGCCTCAACTTAGGTCCAGCAATTGTTGAGATAGTAACGTGAGGGGTTCACACACGCACACACATCACACAAGATGAGGAATCCTGTCGCACTGGCGAGTCACTTTGTCTGATATTTTACGGTGCACGCTTCCTCAAGGCGAATCAAATGGCAAGCCTGCTTGGCGCACAGCTCACTTGCCTGCTACTTTCTTGGCGGTTAGCTGTCGTGTGCTCGCGCGCCCGTGGTCCACTTGACACGTGCTTATTTTGAATCTATTTCAGGGCGGATGATCGCCAATGCCAAGACATCTATGCAAATACGTTTGCATTTGCATGTAGGAACCAGTCCTACACGCACACTACGGTTTCCATGGCTGCCCTTTTTGCCGTGACTCTGGCAGGCGTCGGAAACTCCTGTTTCAAAGATGTGGGGGCTTGGGGGACATGTGGGCATTTGCCTTATTTGTTCTCATGTTTCCTACGCCAACAACACACACACACACACTTAGAAATTGTTTTGCAATGCTGACAGCCGGTGTGGCCCTGCGAAGCACAAGATGGTTCATGTTTACAAGAAGTTATGCTCGATACAATGCATTGCCGCTTGAAAAGTCGTGCTTCTTCGAGAGATTTGTTTGCGCTGTGGCAAAGATTGCACTGATATGTGGAAGTTGAACGCCTCCGCTATTTTACCTTGGGTGTGCGCACATTCTGAGCAGTGCAGGCCCAATTCCGTGTTGTTCGAAGGCTTGTGGTCATTTACACATATTTGTTACAACAATATTAGGTTATCATGATTGCTGGCATTTTGTGTTGAACGCCCAACATGGCAAAGTTTTTGATCAAGAGCAGAACAGGCCGCAGCAAACACAATAGAGCAACCATTTTCCCATTGTGTTTTGGTGACCAACTAGAACACCTGTCTATCCAGACAAAGTAGTTTTCATATGCATCAGCTATCAAACATATGCAAATGCGTTTTGCGTGGTGTGTCTGGACTTAGTTGGCCATATCTCAATCCTGGCAGCTGGAGAACAGCTTTGGTAGCCATCCATGTCCATCTTCAGATAGTTCCGCGCATGTTCTCAGGGATGACCACGTCCTTTATTGGGCAAGCTCCAGAGCCAGAATTCAGCTTTTGGCCATTCTTTTAAGAACATATTGAAGCACTCCAAGGCAAGAATCCTCAGGACAAGATGCAATATGATTAGTTGTCTAATAGAAGATTGAACAGGAAAAACTCGGGAGCCAGAATTGGAAGATTTGGAAGACGCCTAAATGTTGAATAGATGCATCGAAAGGCACAACTTCCAAGCTAGAATTAAAAGACGCCTCCTGCAAATGATGCTTTCTCCGAGCTATTCTTCAGGAATGTGCTTACAACCATTCTCCAATACACATTTCACAAAGAAAGGCTCCCGAGCCTAGACGAAAAAAACAACACTTCAGGCTACTATTTTAAGCAAACAATTATCTTTTTCCAAATTCGGCTTGAAAGCTGTGCCTGTTGATTTTGCGTTGCACGGACTCTTCCAATTCTAGTTCGGGAGCTTTCTTGTTGAGTTTCCTATGTGCAGATGGGCATTCTGAAGCATGTCTGCATGTCAGCCACAAGGGTTGCCAGCACCTTGTCAGCCACCATGATTCACATATGTCGCACATTTGTCCAGGAGCGTATTCCATTGTGGGCTGCTTGTTCTGGCCAGGATTTTAGAGGTTTCTGCACTGCAAAAGCTTTGATCCGGTGAAGGACCGCAAAGGGGTTGGTCATGCTTGAGTTGAACTAAAGGCAAAGCTCCCGAGTTGCCATCAACATGATCACTTGCGAGTAGTTCGAAAGGCAAAGCTCCGAGCAAAATGAAAGAACGAGCTTCGAAATCGTCACTAACTTCTCCATGAGCACTTTTTTTATCGAAAATGAGCAAGACGCAGCTCCGAAGCTGGAATTGGAGGCATGTGAGTGGGATAATCGAAAGGAAACTGCCGAGCCAGAATTGGAAGAAACTGCGTCAATCTCATCAGGTTTGACGAAGAAGTTGAAAATGCAAGGCTAAGGCTCCCTAGCCGAGATGAAAATGCAAAAGGAAGCACTGCCGAGCCAATATTTGAAGACTTCGCTGTAGTAAAACGATAATGTCCGAACAGTAGTTTCGAAATGAGACCTTCCGCAGGACTGCAGAGGATGGATAGCTTTCCAGTACTGGGTCCATTAAAGCGAACATTTTGAGGGCTTCTCAAACTTATTTTGTTTTTCTCGTTAAACAACCGTCAAGAGGGCATTTTTTCCATGAAGTCACGTCAATGGACGCAGCAGTAGGGTGATGGAAAGCGCGAAGCGTTTTTCGGTCTCTTGCCGAAAGCTCCAATTGGATGCAGGTGCTACTTCCTGCCATCATGGCTGCAGGCTATGGCATTGTCGATGAGCGAGGGGTGCGCAGCCCACCAATGATCTCCATGAAGCCCTTTGCTTGCAGGGCTCAGGCTTGAGCCTAGGGGGAATTGTGTATCGACATGGCCATGGGTCATATCCTATGCCTCCATTTTGGGGCGGATGAACACCCATGTACCACTTATTTTGATGTTCACCAGGGGTACAGGGTTTTGAGCCACAGCCACATACCCCTTGGGCAAATGACCCCAAAAGGCTTGCTGCGCGCCGTGCCCTGAGTGGAGCCGAGGTTCGGAATAGCATATTTGCTGAGATCCTTCCTGCAGAACCTCCAGCTTTGGAGGGTTCCTTTGCTCGACTCAGCCGTTGTGAACGTTTAATGCTTGTCCCGGCACAGCAGGGGCAATAGATTTAAGCCAATTGTCCTCAGCTACTTCATTACGAGTCTTTTGCCCACGGCAACGTGCTTGTACCCAGTTAATTTAAGTTTTCTCGAAGTAAAATCGGCAAAGGCCGTAAATCTTGGTGCTTAGTTGTGATGACGTAACACGCAAGCCGTTGGCATGCTGCGCCAACGTACATATTGCACGCGCCCCTGACGTGTCACCGACCAGCACTGGTTGTAGTCTTTTGCGCATCATCGTTGTTCTATACATACCTGCGGCATGCTGCCTTGCACATGCACCATGCAAGATTGCACAGATTAGAAACACACACCCCTTCAACAAAAGACGCACATGCTTTCGCATCAAACATGTATTCGCATGTCTTGCGTGTTGGCAATGGCTACAGATTTTGCAGTGGCCCAAGTACTGCGAGAATAGTTCCCTCATTGACTCTTAATTAACCATTTCAGGGTCACCCCAGCTGTGAAGGCTGTCAAGGTTCTCTCAAGGTTGCAAGAAGTGATGCTCATGATGCAATGCAGCAAATTTTGAAGTTGGAGCATGTCACCGATCAGGTTCCAGATGAGCTGTGGGTACAGCACCCGCCACCCTCGGCTTCCCTGCGATTTTTGTGGAACACGCTCCCAGATCTGTGCTTGCCAAGTGCAGTGGCTAAGCAACTTTGGTAGCAGTTGGCGTGACGCGTGTGCCAACAGTTGCCTTGCTTGAAGCTGACTTGAGAGTCGAGGCTGGCTGCCGACTCTCCGAACTTGTAGCTGCTGATCAGCCTGCGCGGTGTGCCCAACGGTTGTATTCGGCCTACAAGGCTGTTGCCTAGTGGGGTCAGTCCCCTTGCCTGCTTCCTTGAGCAAATGTGCTCAAACCATGAAGATGGCACGTGAAAATCGAATCGTGCAGGGAGTGGATGCATCAAGTGCCCGAGTGAGATATTGTGGGGTGCCATTTCTGTGTTGTCTGACAAGTGGCTATCTTCACACAGGCTCAGTTAGGTCGGGACGTATCAGGAAGATGGGTAGATGCTTCGGGGGTATAGGGTGGGATGCTACTTGGACATGACGCTGAAGGTCCACATGAGCATGTGCCAGACATCTGGGACTTTGACTGGGGATTACTGGAACTTGTGCAGGTTTTGCTGAAAATTGAGCTCGAATGCTCGGGGTCCTGCAGTCTAACGTGGTGTGTGTCCGGCCATTTGGGTCGGGCTGCTGTAGGTCATTTGAGGCACATAGGTCACTGTTAGATTTGGCTGGCTGTCGGTTTGTCATGATGACATACTTTTTTTTTCTCCATGCATTTTCGCATACACATCGGTTGCTATACATCTATATGTCAATATGCATGTTTGTCCCCACGGAGCCAAACTGGGTGCAAGGGCTTGCACTGCCCGATCTGCAGCTTTGTGCCCAAAACGCAGAGAAACCTTGGCACCGCGCCTGCGCGCCGTGCTGGGGCTTGCCATGGCAGACAGTGCGGAGCCCTAGGCAGCACGGTATGGCAAGCTGGCCTTTGTGGCGAACTCAGGCCCACTCAGATGGCTCTTTTTCGGCTGCGGCGCGGTGGGTGGCTATTTTGGGGCACGCTTAGCAGAGCTGCTTGCCCAAATTGTGTTTGTCCGGCCTTGCTTGGGGCCACAGCGAGAAGGAAGAAGATTTCCGGGCAACCAACGGTGCTTGCGAATCTGTGCTGTGCAAGGAGTGGGCAGAAGGTGAGCTTCATGGCAACTTGGTTTGCTACGTTGTCGTGCTACAAATGGGTGTGCCCAAAAATAGGGAGACCCCTTTTGGTGATGTTTGTGGAGAAATCCACATTCAAGCAACCTGTTTTTTGGTTTCCTGATGTTGGACAGGCCCAACCGTGCATTTTTTCAGTAGCGGTGGTCCCTCTCATAGTGCGACAGCCCGACTTGGGCTACTGTGCAATGGCTTTAGATGCCATCCAGGTGAGGAAGCAGACACGTAGAGCGATTGCCACAAATGGTGTCCAAGCAGCCCGGCTGCACGCAACGCGGCTTGTTTGTCGCCAGCCCCCTAGTCCTCTATGCCCAGCGCCGCTTTTCCATGTGCAAATTGGGCCAGGTTCAGAGCATCAGCGGGAATGTGCACGTGCCCCGGGACAAGCTGGACCAGGCGTACGGAGATGAGGTGCCCCTGTGTGGGGCCTTGGGGTGTGGCCAGATATGACCTGTGAAGCCAGGTGATCGACACCGAAAACCTCGACAGGCAGAAAAAGTTCGAGGCGGATGTCATCGTGCTGGCTTGCAAGGCGTGCTGCCTGAAAAAGACGTCACAGTCCTGGCCTGTGGGGCATTTTTGACCCCTCTTGTGCCCTCACAGCCCTTGGTGATTGCGGGCCTGCTCCTGCGCGCCTTGTCAAGGCTTGGGAGGTGGACAATTGCCTCCGCATGTGCGAGCCATGGTGTGGTGCAAACACTCTGGCCTCTCGATTGCACGACATTATTGAAATCGCTACCCGATCCGCCGACGCCAGTGGACAGTCCCCTATTAATAAGCTGGGGCTGATCAATCTGGAGTCGGCACTGGAGAAGAACACTAGGGTCTACTCTTTAAACCACCCCCCGAAAGGGTATAAAAGCAAGGCCCCATTTTTTGTAAGTACAACAGGGCCTTCTTGGTACTTTCCTGTTTTTCATGTCCCAGATGCTGAGGATGCTGGAAATGCAAAGGGATGCAACCACACACAACTTACAGGAACAGACCCAATCTTCGCGCTCAAGATTTTGAGGGAATGCTGGGAATGCAGCTGGCCAGTCACAAACAAGTCAAAAAACAACAGGGTTTTTCAATATTTCCCAAAAGCAACCATCAGAAACCGATACGAGCAACCCCCCTCAAATACCCTAAAAATAGACTTCCAAAAGCACGATAATGCAGGGGATGTTTCGCAGCAACTGCTCCGTACAGGTGGGGAATTGCAAAAAACACTCATTTTTGCAAATTGCAACAGTTCCTCAAAGTATCACTGCACTTGGCCCCACCCAAGCCCCTAACAGGCCAATTCCAACATCGCTTGAAACAGCAAAACGCCACTAGTATCTCAAAAAAAGAGACAAATTCATGGCAACAAGATATCCTGTTGATGCTGGGGGTGCAGATCCTGCGCGTCCGGGGGAACCCCCCTCCCCCCCGGCGAAACGCATTTTTTAGCATGAAGACACAAAAACACTGGAAAATACAGAGTTTTGGACACCTAGCGCAGCATGCCCAAAAAATAGCAGTCCCAAAAGCCTGCGGCTTTGATAAGAGATTCCGAAGGAAGACCAAGTTGCGGACTGGCATCTACACGCTCGACTGGCGTCGGCGGATTTCGAAGCGAGAGTCGAGCCGCGCCACAGCCATCTGGAGGTGCTGCCGCTGCAAAATGGTGTGGACGGCTTGAGCAGGGTGCGTGCGATTGTGACATCCTGGGGACGCGGCCGGCCACTAGTTGGCTGGTGTAACATCGTGGCCGCCATCCAGGAACCCACACGTTGCGCACCTCATGTCACGCTACTGTACTCATATGCCATCAGTTTGAGTCTGCGCATTATCTCCCTTCCAAATTCAAGGATCCCGGGCTCATCAAGCACTGGGCCGCTAACCCACCTGCCGTGTACTTTGGTGAGTTTGAGGCACGGAGCGTCATGAGCTTCACACTCGCCAGCTGGATCACTTGGCAGGGCGAGGCGGCACCAAGCACAAAGCAATTGGAGACCATCTTCGCTGGGTGTAAAGGTGTGGCAGGCGTGGGCGATTTCGCGTTTTGGGGACGGTGCGTGCCTTGCTCTTCGCACCTCAGCCCACTTGGAGTCCGATGCGCTTTCCAAGTGCTGGGTGGCTTGAATGGAATGTTTGCCATGCTCACGGTTCGTGAAGTGAATCTGGCCGATCCGAGGAGAAGTTCTCTTTCATTTGTGCGACGACTGCAGTGCAAGCTACTACCGGGCCGTCTGCTACGCAAGACTTGATCCCACAGGCGGAACCCTCTTATCTTCACATGTCAGCTGTGAACCGAGTACCCTTCCTCACTTTATTGGTTCCCAACCCGGGGAGACGTTGCTTGCCTTGTGGAACATGTCCCGGCCCTCCTGCAAACTTATGCCCAGTCACCGTTTGTGTCTCCCAATGTGTGTTTGTTTGTTTGTTTGTTTGTGTGTGTGTGTGTCCGTGTGTGTGTCCGTGTGTGTGTGTCCGTGTGTGTGTGTCCGTGTGTCTCCGTGTGTCCGTGTCTGTGCCTGTGCCTGTGTCTGTGTCTATGTCTGTCTGTGTCTGTGCGCGGTCCTCCTGGGCCTATTTGCAGCCTGCAGCATTGAAAGGTCGTTGACTGCAGGTTCCAGAGCTCCTCACGATGTGGCGCTCAGCAATGCAGGAGATAATGGCAGTGGCGCCCCGGCAATGTGTCCAGCTGGACTGCCCAACCAACCGCCAAGATTGAATGGCTCGTATGCACGGCAGTGTGATGCGACGCGTCCAACCTCACTCAAGGCTCACAGCCATGGCATCAACTATCAAGAGGAATGGATCGAGAAACGCTTCTCAGCTATGAGGCTATGAGTCTTCCAGGTCACACATGAAGGGAACTTAGGGGAGTTGCTTCAAGTGCGCAACCGAGGCATACCAGTCTTGAGGGAAGCTGTTGGAGCGACCACAAGCTGCAGTCGAGACCTTTGGGCGGGAAGGCGCGGCCAACATTGCTCACTAGTAATCTAAGGTTGGCTTGGGAAGAACAAGGGGACCCACCAAGATCTCACAAAGACTAGGGGGGCCACCTAATTTGCCCACATCCTGTTGGGGGGGGGAGGGGCGCAACATATTGTTTGCGCCATGTCTCAAGCGATTGCCGAATCGCTTTCATTTTGATCGCGTGAGTTTGGGTGGCAGCGGGCAAATCCCGCCAAAATGCCAGGCCAAGCGAGCTGGAAGATTTGCCCCTTGGTATCCCTTTACAGCAAACAAATCCGGATCAATCCGCAAGATCCTTATGCCAGATTGGGTGGTTTCCCTGATTTCTGAGGCTGGGCTCTGCCCACCGACTGGGCGAAGCAAATGGCATCCCGACTCCGGTGATCTCGACATGTTACCGTTCTCTCGGCATGCGGCTTGACTTTTGTTTTGTAAGTTGGAGAAAGGCATTTGCTTGCTTTTTCAAAATCTTGCAGTGGTGCAAGGAGAGACTCGCTGGCACGGCGTGCGTGCAAATTGCCAATTTATCCCATGCTTGAGGGGCAAAAGATTCTTGGAACCATATGCAGCTGGACTGCAATCAATTTTATTGCTGTGCTTTGTGACCTCCTTCTGTGACAGAGATGGGCAGGTAATCACCGTGGACAGCAGTTGCCCGCTGACCGGACGTTGGTCCAGAAGAAGGCTGAAGAGTGGCCTGCCCAAACTGGACCCAACCCAAGCTTGAGCCATGTCGACTGAGGTACCTTAGACCAGTTCCTCGGCAAATCACACTAGTGGGAAAGAAACGCTTTGCGTGGCACGCGGGGATTCATGTGTACCCAAAGGCTTGGCAATTCGAATATTCGGCATGTTTAGTCCTTACGGCCTGCAAAAGCCAAGGAGTGGTTTGTTTGCCCCATGACCTCGACGATTCCCAGCGGTGGCAATTGCGAAGTGCCAGAGGGTGTTCAGATGATTTGGGAAGCAGAGCTCGGAGCTGCTCGGTGATATCGCGCTCCGTGCGAGAAGTCGACGGGGCCGCTTGCAGCCAAGGTTGTGATCTCGCACAGGTGTGCCTTGGACTGTGCCAGTGACACTCTGCAGGGGCTCCTTTGCGGGGCATTGGATCAGCAAACCGCTTGCAAGGCGAGAATGTATCTGTCGAGGAGGCCATGGGCTATGTTGGTGGCTACTGCATGGTCTTGGACATGACCGGCGGAAATCTAGGCCCATGCCCAAGGCATTCATGGCATTCACGGCATTCATGAGGTTCACGCGAAAGAGCCACGCGGGGTGTTTGTAGGGATGGTTGTCGACCCCTGCATAGGGATTGTAGACAACCAGGGCAAGGATTCCTACTAAGGGGGCCCCATGACCATGGCCCACATAGAGCTTTGAGCATGGCACACGTTACGAGGCTTCGAGTCTATGAAGCCGCTGTGGTCGCACCTGTGGAACCCCGTTGATGAACGAATCCCCTGGTTGATATGGGGCGATGTCTCATGGGGACCTGGATCAGATTTTTTTGGGAAACCGCCCCGCGATGAATCCGGGGTCGACATTCGCATCCACACTGCTTGAGCTCGCAGCCTATGCGCTAGCACGCAAGTTGTCCGGCTCGCCTTTCCAAGGTACGGACACTCCTGGACCAGAAACAAGTGCCAGAACACCTTCAAGCCGGCCGACTGCCTGCAGCTGTCTTTCTTGACTTTCGGGCATCCCAAAGTTGCATGCCTCTTGCCACACAGTGCCCCAGGTAGGAAGCTTCATACCCGCGGATGAGCTGCCACGTCCGGAATCTGCTCGCATCATTTGTCGAGTGAACGGGTGACTTGCTTTGAGTTGGTGTTTGCACATTCAGTGAGCTTCTGTGCATTTGATGGGCGCTTGTTGGTTTTGTTTTTGGCAGCGTGCTGTGCTGGCTGTGTGTTGCCCGTGAGGAAGACTGTGGCCAACGACGAGCTCAGCAAGATGAAGTTTTCGATTGCCCAGCAAGTTGCCGACGTTGCTGGTCAGCACGCAGCACAAAGGAGCCGCGGGGGCGGCTCTTTTCTCCACGTTCACTGCGGCATTTTGAGTGGTCCTGAAACAAAATCCAAGGCGAGTGAGCTGACTCCATTGCAGCGAGGCGACGTGTTGTTAACTGGCGCTGGCTGCTTGGCCAGGATTTGCGGGATAACTGTTTCGCATGCAGCCTGCCACGAAGATTCAATTCCCTGGCAGGCACAGATTCGCGCGCACACACACACACACACGCACACTTTGCAGGACTTGCTTCTTCTCATTGGCTACTTCTTCGCCTCGTGCTAGCTCAAAATCGCACTGAGGATCACTGGGCCTTTTAAACGTGGGCGACTTTGTGGAGGGCTTGATCGAGGGAATGGATGAGACGTACACGGTGACAACCCAATTGGTGCCCGCGCCGAAGAGGGCTAGGCTGAATTCCGCCAAACTCTGAATGATTCGAATGCCGAACATGGCAGATGGTCTTCCAAGCCGATTTTCTTGAGCGCAAAACTGCGCATCACGTGAGCAGTGCCCAAAAGCCCTGTTGGTGAGTCATGGGGGTTTGGGCGCTGCTCACATTATTTGGCCACCCTGAGCGCCAAGCCTTTTTTTGAGACTGGAAGTTGGCCATGGGCTGAGGACTTTTGATTTTCTGGAAGGCAAAAGTTGCACCGTGTGCCGATTGTTCGCGCGATGTCATGTTCTCTTGATAAGTTGGAAAACCAACATATAAGTTCTTGAGAAAAGTTTGACTCTTGTCTTTGCTTTCCTTGTGGCAAGGCCGCTTGCAAATTGGCTACCGCCTTTGGTTGACCCAGGCTCAGCCCAGTCTGGCACGGACCTTCCTGCTTGCAGTCTTCTGCAGTTTCTTGTGGTTCTTCCAGACGCATCTTACTAGTTGATGGCTCGATGCAGGAGACGAGACGTTCAAACAATGGTAGCAATGGCAGCGGCCTTTGGAGCTGAAGCCGTTGTGGGACTCCATTTGGTTCTGTCGCGCACGTACACACAAGCAACAACACAACAACAACGGCGTGAAGGATTGTGTGCCTGCAAGCATGACTGGCAGCATGTGCATTCCGCCGAGTCAAGAGGGGGTTCAACACTGTAACGTACACACATATTGTCACACACGCACGCCACTCCCAGATGTACAAAAAGTCCAGCTTTGAGAGTTAGAGACTCTGCCATGGGCCTCCTTGATGGCTATGACAGTGATGAGTCAACAGCACCCGAGAGGAACACTAGGCCGCCTCGGGTGGGGTACTGTCTCTGTATGTTTTTGCCTGCGCCAAAGGACAGTGGCTGCCTTTATTGATGCTTTGTGCTGGCCAGGCGGCGAGTCGTCCGCTCTCACCTTAGTTTGCCCAAATGATGAATGCCATAGCCTATGCCGGGGTGTGCAGGTGGCCAGATGCTGCCAACGCTGCCTGCTGCTGCTGCCGCCTGCTATCGCTGCCTGCTGCTGCTGAAACTGCTGCCTCTGCTTTTGCTGCTCCTTTTGTTGCCATTTCACTTGCAAGTCATCGTGGCTGCTATTACTTTTTCGTTTTCACCCCACAATGCTCACCAGCCACAAAGTTCAGCAAAGACGCCGTACAAATTCAAGCCGCCGCTCGATGCTTCTAAGACCTAAGGCCTTGACTACGCCAAGCTGCCTGTGTCTCGGCGCCTGGACCCTGCAGCGCGTGAAGTTCCAGCCCGAATTGTTGAACCAGATGCGGGGGACAGGGTCTTGGATTCTGCATTTTCCTGGGTCCATCAAAGTGACACGATAAAGAAAGCCAGCAAATAACATGGAAGCACCACAAGCATTTTTTAGAGTTTAGACCCCCTTCACTTTAAGACTTTAAGACACCCCGTTTTTACTCATGTGGCCCCCTTTCATTCTCCAGAACCGTGAAGCAGGAGCTGGAAAAGCTGGCCCAAGCCAAACAGAAGGAGGACAACACGGGATGGATTGATAGGGCCGTTGCAGTCCATAGCAATGTCCCAGGACAGCGAGTCTGAGTGCAGTGGATCCGACTCTGATGACACATCAAGACCGGAGCCAGCGTCAAACTGCGAGGTGCCGTTTGCCCGGTGCTTCACGTGCATGATGCCATTTGGGTAACTACCCTTTTCAACTTGGTCGCAAGGGCAGCCCCCCCCCAAAAAAAAGCAACAACAACCATTTTTATGGGTCCAGCTATTTTCATGGTCCACATTTTTCGCTGCCATGGCGCTGACATCGTGGGAGGGTTGTTTTTTCTGCCAGGCTCCGGTCGGCGCGCTTCCATTTCTCCTGCCCGCGCCAAAGGCCGAGGCCGGTCGATGGCAGACATGGCAGACGTCAAATCGCCAGCGCCAGGGGCAGGCGGCGAGCATCGAGATCGACTTCAAAGCCTTGGGGAAGCCAAGGGAGAGCCCAAGCGAAAAGAAGCTGGGAGCACCGCACCCCTGTTCCAATCAAAGAAACGGGCCCTGCAGAAAAGATCTTGAGTTTTAAGCCCTGTCCAGCTCCATTGGAAGGGTGCTCAAAGCCTGAGAGAGTACTGCCCGATTTGCCGGATGCCACTCAGGAAGCCTCAGGCGGCCTCGCAAGTGCCCAGTCCTGAGTGAGCTTGGGATTCCAAGCTTGACACGACAACCAGCCAGGAATGCATGGCTCATCAAGCGCCCCTTCGCGCCAACAGTCGAGGAGGAGGAGGAGGACCCGCAGTTCCTGTAGTTCAGCTTCCCGAAGCGTTTCAACAGGGTGGCACGGCTGGCTCATCGCCTGTGCTGCTTTTCACAAATGCCGTTCAGCTACCAATGCATTTCACTCCAAAGAAAGCGTGGCGTGATATTGCTGCGGCTTTAGGCGGAATGTCCCCACCCGAGGTGCTACTGGTTGTAGCGTGGCTGTGGTCAAAACTGTGGTTTTACTGGCGTCCGTTGGAAGTGTTGCATGGTGCAGGCGCTGACGACAATTTGATACCGTTGACACCCGATTGACAACCTTCAAGCACTATTCCATATTACAACAGCTATTGCCAAGACTTCTGCCAATGCTACTTCCCTTCATAGTCTTACGGGGTGCCTTTCCAAGACCAAAGGCGACAGGCTCACCACAGGTACCCCCCGCCTCAAGGCCAGCCCCCGGAAATAATGGAACCCCTGCTCATCAATCCTGGCACTGTCCAGTTTCCATTCACTTTCTGGCTACCGGATTCATAGCTCTAACACCCGGTTTTTGGGCATGACCAGCGTTGCTGTTAGCCACAGTTTTGCCAAGTTCTAGCACTTATCAGTGTTCGCTGGCTTGGAACAGGGAGGCGATTGGCAGTTGACTGAAATCCGCCAAAGCCCAACATGTTCAAATACCATGGCTCTAAAGCAATTACATGGTTGGGCAACGGCGCAAAGCGGGAGTCTGATTTGGATAGTGCTGCGCATGTTGGCTTTTCGCAAAGCTTGGGCATAGGCTAGTCACACGACTTTTCAGAAAGACAGCCACCAAATCGCTAGGAGCAATTCCCGGAAAGCTTGCTGAAGCACCCCATGCTTCGGTCTCGAGCGGGAAGCTAAGATGTGACGCCCCCCCTCCCAAAAAAAGAAATAAATAAAACGGGTACTGTTGGCCCTGGGAAAACAAATTGCCCCAAAACCCCCAACGCCAAGCAATGAAGAGGGCGTCATGCCCACTGAATCAGAGAGATGGCTGAGGCCGGGCCGACGCAGTCAGAAGTCGCTGAACTCCAGCAGCTTGCCTTGGCTGCCAGAGGCTTCGCAGTTTGCATCGTGCCTTTCCCACAGGTCGCGCAAGAAGGTGGTGCACATCAGGGCGGACAGCATGAAGGCGCAATGCCAGGCCAAAGGCTTGCGAAGTGAGTTGTTCAAAATCCATCTCTTTGGTTTCCGGGATCCTCTTAGGGGGTGTCCGGGATCCCCTCATTTGGAACCATGAACGGCCCAATGGCTAGTGTGAAAAAGATGCGATGCCATGGGCAGGACCCAGACTGGCAGCTGAATAGCCTATTGGTGGGTCAGCCTGGGCATTTACGTGGCCACGCAGCCGTGATCCCAGCTTTCTCTTTGGCGGTATGTCTCAAGAAGAAGGGGGCCTAGTAGTTGAGTTAGTTCCTTGTCCCTTGGCCCCTCAAAAAAAGCGCCAGGATTCCCAGCAATTTCTCCTGGTTTTCATGGGCTTCGGGCCAAGGTCCCGACGGCCGTCAGCCAGTTCGAGACCGAAGAATGGAACCAATCCACCTTGTCCTATCCATCACGATCGCAGAAGAGGACGAAACGCTCAGTTGTAAAGGAAGAAATAACAGTTTGCTGGGCCTGGCTCCTGGGAAAAAAGCCGCGTACCCGAGACGAGGGCGATGATGTCAGGCATATATTTGTTTGCAGGTGTGATTATGCCGCCTTCAATTGGGTCTGCGCAGCATGCTTTGGCTGCAGTAACAGGGTGTGATATAGTCTGCCTGACCCTGAGGAAGTCGCAGATCAACTGGCTCGCATCTTTGGCTGCATGTCTGGCGGGGGCGCACACGTGGTCCTTGCCCAGTCATAGCTAGACAGCTAGACTAAGGGTTCGTATGGGTGAAATAATCTCGACTAAGGCACAAGAAGCGATCAACAAAGAAGCAGAGCACCTGGACCGAGTTGCGCATGGCAAGCAGTGCAAGGCAGGATCGAGCCACACTTACCGTATTTTTGGGAGACCCAATTTGCATGGCAGACCCAGTGTTGCATGTTGCCCGACAGGCGCAAACCTGGCACAAATACGGATGGTGACGGACAAAAAACAATTTTACAGCTTTTTTGTTCAGAATCAGAATTATCAACAAACAATACATGTTTTGCAAATTATGCCTCTGCCTTTCTAAATCTAATTGGACATGTTTATAACATATGAATTAACCATTATTATATTAATATCGATTCATTTCAATTCTGAAACTGATTTATTTGGCTATTTTATATGGAGAAGAACAACAAACCAATTAAAATATATTTTATCAAATTAAACACAACTTAGAATAAATTAGAATTAATTTAATATATATTTATATATTTACTCTATAAAACGAAACCGTGAAACTTGCTCGTCGCATTTGCGCGCTTTTTCCCGGACCGCTTTTCCGAAAAATCTCGGATATTTCGGAAAATTGGTCCGGGCTGCCCCTGGAAGATGCAACCGCTTCATATTTCCTACGGACCGCTTACCCAAATCAGTCCGGGCTACCCCGGCCATAATCCGGAAGATGCAGTGGCTTTATTTTTTGTAGGGACCAATTTCCCGAAATATTCCAGATATTTCGGGAAACCCACCATTTTCTCGAAATATTCCGAATATTTTAACGCCTCCGGCTCAGGCCGCCGACATTACAGGCCTGCTTCTTATTTGCGTCCCTTTGGAATTGTTCCGTTGCCCCCTTCCCCTCTGAGATTTTTGCCCCCCTTTCTTTGTTGAGATCCATTCCCCCTTTCCGCCCTAAGGCCTTTTCTCCCTCTGATTTTTTCCCTTTTCCTCCCTAAGATGTTTTCCCCCCTCTCCCTGTTGAGATCCTTTCCCCTCTTTCCCCCCTAAGGCCTTTTCCCCCCTGAGACCTTCTCCCTGTCCTCCCTAAGATCTTTCCCCCCCTTTCCCTGCTCAGATCCTTTCCCCCCTTTCCCCCCTAAGGCATTTCCCCCCCTGAGACCTTCTCCCTTTTCCTTCCTTAGATCTTTCCCCCCTTTCCCTGTTGGCCTTTTTTCCCCCAGATCTTCTCCCTGTCCTCCCTAAGATCTTTCCCCCCCTTTCCCTGCTCAGATCCTTTCCCCCCTTTCCCCCCTAAGGCATTTCCCCCCCTGAGATCTTCTCCCTTTTCCTCCCTAAGATCTTTTGCCACCTTTCCCTGTTGAGATCCATTCCCCCTTTCCCCCCTAAGGCCCTTTCTCCCTCTGAGTTTTTCCCTTTTCCTCCCTACGATGTTTCCCCCCCTCTCCCTGTTGAGATCCTTTCCCTCCTTTCCCCCCTAAGGCCTTTTTTCCCCCCGCGATCTTCCCCCTTTTCCTTCCTAAGATCTTTTCCCCCCTTTCCTTGTTGAGATCCTTTCCCGCCCTTTCCCCCCTAAGGCGTTTTCCTCCCCAAGATCTTCTCCCTTTTCCTCCCTAAGATCCTTTGCCCCCTTTCCCTGTTGAGGTCCTTTCCCCTCTTTCCCCCCTAAGGCCTTCCCCCCCCCCTGAGATCTTCTCCCTTGTCCTCCCCAAGATCTTTTCCCTTGGTTGAGATCCTTTCCCAAGATCTTCTCCCTTTTCCTCCCTAGGATCCTCTCCCACCTTTCCCTGTTGAGCTCCTTTCCCCCTTTTCCCCCTAAGGCCTTTTCAGATCTTCTCCCTTTTCCTCCCGAAGATCCTTTGCCCCCTTTCCCTGTTGAGATCCTTTCCCCCTTTCCCCCCTAAGGCCTTTTCCATGCCTGGGATTTTCTCCCTTTCCTCACTGAGATCTTTCCCCCCTTTCCCTGTTGAGATCCTTTTCCTCCTTTCCTTCCTAAGGCCTTTCCCCCCGCTGAGATCTTCTCCCTATTCCTCCTTAAGATCCTTTGCCCCCTTTCCCCGTTGAGATCCTTTCCCTTCTTCCCTTTAAGGCCTTTCCAGATCTTTTCCCTGTTCCTTCCTAAGATTGTTTCCGCCCTTTCCCTGTTGAGATCCTTCCCACCCTTTCCCGCCTAAGGCCTTTCCCCCCTGAGAGCTTCTCCCTTTTCCTTCCTTAGATCTTTCCCCCCTTTCCCTGTTGGCCTTTTTTCCCCCAGATCTTCTCCCTTTCCTCCCTAAGATCTTTTCCACCCCTTCCCTGTTGAGATCATTTCTCCCCTTTCCCCTCTAAGGCCTTTGTCCCCAGATCTTCTCCCTTTCCTCCCTAAGATCTTCCCCCCCCCCCCCTTTCCCTGCTGAGATCCTTTTCCCCCTTTCCCCCCGAAGGCCTTTCCCCCCCTGAGAGCTTCTCCCTTTTCCTTCCGACGATCTTTTCCCCCCTTTCCCTGTTAGGCTTCCCCCCCTAAGTCCTTTTCTCCCAGATCGTCTCCCTTTCCTCCCTAAGATCTTCCACCCCCTTTCCTTTTTAAGATCTTTCCCACCCTTTCCCTGCTGAGATCCTTTCCCCCGTTTCCCTCCCAAGGCCTTTCCCCCCCCTGAGAGCTTCTCCCTTTTCCTTCCTAAGATCTTTTCCCCCCTTTCCCTGTTGGGCTTTCCCCTCTAAGTCCTTTTCTCCCAGATCTTCTCCCTTTCCTCCCTAAGATCTTCCCCCCCCTTTCCTCCTTAAGATCTTTCCCACCCTTTCCCTGTTGAGATTCTTCCCACCCTTTCCCCCTTTGAGGCCTTTCCCCCCTTGAGAGCTTCTCCTTCCTTAGGTCTTTCCCCCCTGTCCCTGTTGGCCTTTTTTCACCAGATCTTCTCCCTTTCCTCCCTAAGATCTTTTCCACCCCTTTCCCTGTTGAGATCATTTCTCCCCTTTCCCCCCTAAGGCCTTTGCCCCCAGATCTTCTTCCTCCCAAAGATCTTTCCCCCCCCTTTCCCTGCTCAGATCCTTTCCCCCCTTTCCCCCCTAAGGCCTTTCCCCCCCTGAGATCTTCTCCTTTTTCCTCCCTGAGATCTTTCCCCCCCCCTTTCCCTGCTGAGATCCTTTTCCTCCTTTCCCCCCTAAGGCCTTTCCCCCCCCTGCCCTTTCCCTGCTGAGATCCTTTTCCCCCTTTCCCCCCTAAGGCCTTTCCCCCCCCTGAGAGCGTCTCCCTTTTCCTTCCTAAATCTTTTCCCCCCTTTCCCTGTTGGGCTTTCCCCCCTAAGTCCTTTTCTCCCAGATCGTCTCCCTTTCCTCCCGAAGATCTTCCCCCCCCTTTCCTCCCTAAGATCTTTCCCACCCTTTCCCTGTTGAGATCCTTTCCCCCCTTTCCCTCCCAAGGCCTTTCCCCCCCTGAGCGCTTCTCCCTTTTCCTTCCTAAGATCTTTTCCTTTTTTTCCCCAGATCTTCTCCCTTTCCTCCCTAAGATCTTTTCCACCCCTTTCCCTGTTGAGATCATTTCCCCCCTTTCCCCCCTAAGGCATTTTTGCCTCAGATCTTCTGCCTTTCCTCCCTAAGATCTCCCCCCCCCCCCAGTTCCTTGTTGAGATCATTTATTTCCACCCTTTTCCTTCTAAGGCCTTTTCCCACCCTCAGTTCTCCCTTTTCCTCCCAAAGATCTTTCCCCCCCTTTCCTCCCTAAGTCCTTTTCCCTGAGTTCGTCTCCCTTTGCCTCCCTAAGATCTTTTCCCCCCTTTCCCGCTTAAGATCCTTTCCCCCGTTTCCCCCCTAAGGCCTTTCCCCCCAAGATCTCCACCCTTCTCTTCCCAAAGTCTTTTTCCCCCTTTCCCGTTTGAGATCCTGTCCCCCCATTGCCCCTTAGGGCCTGTTCCCCCCGAGAAAGATTTCCCTTCTCCTCCCAAAGATCTTTTCCCCCCTTTCCCCGTTAAGGCATTTTTTCCCCAGATCTTCTCCCTGTCCTCCCTGAGATCTTTCCCCCCCTTTCGCTGTTGAGATCCTTTCCCCCTTTCCCCCCTTCATTTCCTTCATGGGCAACATCCCCAGCATCACTTGCATCATCCGCATCCTTGGCAGGCGCTGATGCGGATGATGCAGGTGATGCTGGCGATGTGCCGCTGGAGCTGCTAAGGATGCGAAAGCGCACCCGGGGGGAATCGAACACCCCAATTTTTTTGACAAACTGAGTTGCGCAAGCCCGCACAATGAACAGATTTAGTGAAGCGTCTTCGAATCACCGCGTGGTACGTGGACCCCCCCCCCCCGCAATAGTCTGAAATGGTGCCCCTGGGGGGGAGGGGTAACAGGTAAAGAGGTAAGGCTGTTGTCGGCGGATGTCGGGAACCGTTTTCCCGAAATATTCCAAGTATTTCGGGAAATGCTGTCGCCGAAAAATCCGGAATCTTTCGGAAAAATGGTCTGGAGTGCAATTATCGTAATATCCGGGATATTTTGCAAAAATGGTCCGGGCTTTGAACGAAGCCGTTGTGTCTTCCAGATAAAGAGTCGGGGCATATATCTGCCTGTCCGTAGCAATTTTGGCTGAAATCTTGGCCCATCTTCCGAGAGTTTGGCGATGCGAGAAGCTGTGAGCCGCGGCCGATTGTTGCGACCAGTGGTGTTTTTCCCAATGCTTTGGGCGAAATCAGTTCGGCTTTGCTTGCACCCAGGATGTTTTCTGGTCGATCGCGTTTTCGCTTGCGCTTGCAACAACTGCGTGTGTGGATGGATCTTTTGAGGCCAACAGCCCGCGGATCCGTTCTCACCTTGCTCAGGCGACCGCCTTTCACTGACTCTTTGGCGTGACCTTATCGCGACCAGCCCGGCCCTCATTGCGTCTCGCGACCTGTGTTTGGAGAACGGCAGCCTGCTTTTCGCACGCGACGTGTATACATTTTTTGATACATATGAGATGATAAAATTTGTTGGTGCCTGAGTTGCCAAAATTGTCTTGCCGGCGCGGGCTCTATAAGATTTGCTCTGTTCTTGGCACACCCACCACGGCCTGGACCTTGGCCCCTGAGAGCTCGGCCCAACTTACCCCTAATTGCTGGTTTGGATTGGTGGTTTGGGGATTGAACCCCTGGATCATGTTGAAGTTGAATGGGAAACCGCCCCCTAACCTCCAAAACGCCGATTCAAACTACCAATCGGTAGCAAACCGGGGTGCCCGGTCCAAAGAGGGCCGCCGAACACCTGCAACCGCCTCCTGGCCGCGGGCCAGAACACAGCCGTCGTGGAGGGC